TTGCCCGTGTGAAGTTTTTCCGCAATGAGTTGTATGGCCATGTGTCCACCACTGGTGTTGAAATGTCAGTGTTCTCGTCTCTGTGGCAGGAAATTAGTACAGTCCTTGTTGATCTTGGGTTAGACCAAGGAGAAATAGATAAATTAAAAGCGGAACATATCGGAGAGGAAGACTATATTGACTTGTTGCGTGCGTGGTCTGAGAGTGAGGAGGATACAAAGTCACAGCTGAGGGATATACGTAATATCCAGATACAGATGCATAAAGACGTTGTAGATCTACATCAGAACCAAAAGGAAGACCAGAAAACACTGGAGGATACCAAGTCTAAATTGGAGGAATTTTCCCAGTGTCAGGTAAAAACTCTTGAAGCTGTTGAAGAAATGCAAGCGGGTATCGAAGGATTTAAACAGGTGGCTGAGAGCGAAAAGAAGAGAAAAGAAGAGAATAGGGAAGTTGAGGCCCTGAAAAGCCTGGCGGACGTCGACTTCCGAGGAGACATTGAATATCATGTACAAAGATTCCAGGAAGGAACCCGTGAATGGATCTTCCAAAAAATCGATGGATGGCTCGACGACAAAAGTTGCGAAAATCGGGTAATGGTCATAAGTGGCAATGCTGGCATGGGAAAGTCAGTTATCTCGGCTGTTGTGTGTGAGAGAATGCAAGAAGCCGGTCGACTGTCAGGAAGCCACTTCTGTCAGCACAACAACGTACGCTATCGGAATCCGCAGCTAATGCTTCAATCCTTAGCCTCTCATTTGACTCACACCTTACCCGAGTACAAGGCAGCTCTCGTCGAAAAATTATCACGCAATCTGGGGGTACCACTTAACAGCATGGGTGTCGAAGAGCTGTTTGCTTTGCTTTTGAAGGAACCTCTTCATGCTATTCAAGATCCAGGAAGAAACATCTTAATGGTGATAGATGGCTTGGACGAAAGTGAATATCAAGGACGGAACGAGCTCCTCGATGTCATTGGCAAGCACTTTTGTAAGCTCCCAAAATGGATTCGATTTCTCGTGACAGCGCGACCTGAAATAAACATTACGGAGAGCCTGAAGCATCTGCAGCCCATCCACCTTAATCAAAAACAGGAAGAGAACTTAAACGACATTAAGCGTTTCTTTGAACTACGTCTGGGAAAGCAACTTGAGCAAGAACATAAGAATGCTTTCTTGGACAAACTGGTTCAAAGGACTGAAGGTATTTTCCTATTTGCGTATTTTCTCAGTGCTGTACTCGAAGAGAATGCCCTGCCACTTACTCTCGAGGAGGTGGAGAGCAGATTGCCGTTGGGTATTTCATCCGTTTATCTTGATCATTTTACACGGTTAGAAAAGGAACTTTGCAAAGAGTTAAAGATTGAAGAGGACCAAGTGTTACGTTTCCTTTGCGCTCTAACCGCTTCCAGAGAGCCCCTCCCATTGGCGTTTGCCTCCAGAATACTAGAGCCTGATGGGAACTGTTCCATTTCCCGGCGAAAAGTAAATAAGATAATCGCCTGTATCTCTGCTCTTTTACCAATCTACCACGATCGACTTCACTATATCCACAAGTCAGTAAAAGATTGGTTAACAAATACGTCGTTGTATGGTCGACATAAATTCATCGTGGACGAGAAAGAGGGCCATGAGATCCTCTTCGACCTTTGCAACGCTGAGCTTGACAAAATCAAAGGGAAGAAGCTTCTCGATTCCCAGTTCAACGACGCTGAACAATACGCATTGCAACATGGTGTCCAGCACATGACTGAGCTGGATGGACTGGGTAATAGTTCAACAACCTACATAGATCACCTGGTAAAATCCTATGTCTTAGACTTAGAACTCATTTTTTGTAGACTTTGTGTAAACAGCATGGTTCCTTCAGATGATCTAAAAAGTGTTCAAAGGAACATCAACGTTACCTCACTTCAAGAGGGAAGTTGTTCTTCAATACTATATATGTCAAAAGCCCTACGAAAACACTCCCATCTTTTGAGAGACCACCCAGAGGCTTTGTTTCAAAGCTTGGTCAACGAAGGCCCCCCTGAGCTATCTGTTAAAGCAGCGCAGATCCTTGAAAACAAGCTTCCTCATGCCTCGTACATGAAATACTTAGACAAAGAAGAAGAACAAGGAGTAGTTCTAGGTCGATTTTGCTGTTCAGATACCGTAGCATGCTTTGATGTTTCACCTGAACTGGATTATATGGTGTGTGAATGCCGAGACGGAACAATTCATCTCTGGTCTCTTCAGACAGGGAGTGAAGAATGGAAGCGACCTTCCCTAATTGCGAAAAAATTTGAGGGCACATCGCGTTGGGGTACTCTAGCATACGATGAAGGAGCATTTCGTAGAGTGCGATGTTGTGTGACTTTTTATCGTTCGGTAGTTTTTGATGGAAGTGGAAAGTATGTTTTACCAGGATGCCTGCGAAATGTGTACACTCTCAATGGAGAATCCTATGAGCTTTTTCCGAAAAGCGATTGCGTTTTTTCAAATTGTGCGTTTTCAGGAGACAGGAGAACATTTTTAACCGACTGTGGTGATGATCCAAAGAAACTCTCTTTGTGGAGCTTAGAAAATGGCGCCGAATTATACGGCATACCTTTGAAAGAAATTATTGTATCTTTTGCTCTTTCTCAAGATGGATCACTCGTTGCAGTTACAGATGATACTGGGTCTGTGTACGTCATTGATTTGGACTCTATGCGAGGAATATGTTTATGGCAGACCAAATTTGTGCCATGTGGACTAATGCACCTCTCCTTCGATGTTGAGTACACGTTGGTTTGTGGTTATCTAGGTACCCAGCTTGAAGACATTGGATCCCAGCACAGATTCGTGTGGAATTATGAAAACAGTGACTTCAAGATGTGTTCATTTGGAAAGGAAGATCTATTCTCTTCTTCAGCGGGTGTCTCATGGCCGTTAGTTCCAGAGGGCAAGTTTCTTTTATGGCCCATTGGTTCAAGCAATTTTGATTTGCAAGATTTTTACCTTCAAGTAGATGGAGAGACTTGTCTGGTGGAGAACGTAAGCCGTGTTTTTCCAGATTTACGAGTAGGATTTTACGCGAGGCTGTCAGACAACACAATATTGGCCAGCGGCCCATTGTACAACTACGTTGCGTTGGTGGACGTGAGTCATCGAGATTGTTCTGCTAAAAGCTCAGCAGTCAAGGAGGTGGTGCTTTCTCTTGAGGGAGACACTCTGTATTCTATTTGTTCGGATAACAGTTCTTCTGAAGTGACCGTTTTAAGACTGTCGACCCGAGAAAGTTTAATGCCGAAGAAGTCTTTCGCTGTTCCGTCTCTGTTTCTTCTCTCTCTGAAGGAAGGCGTTGTACTTTGTTTGGGAAATGGGATACCAGAGCTTTGGAATTTTGAATTGACCAGACTTATTCGACCTCTTCCCAAATTGAGTGGCTATGAAAGGCTTTCCCGTATATCACCTGCACTCATAGCTTGTCAAAGGTATAGCCGTCATCTAACGACAGAGGAATATACAAGTCAAATTCCATCATTCGAAGGAACAGATCTGCCGGAAGTGGTGGCTTCGAATTCAAATTCATCGGTGGACACTGAAACACCTTCGGTTGTGCACGATTCAACAGATGTATCAGATGATGCAATTTCACCAAACCCGTTTGATCTTCTACGCATGCAACAGCCTATGATGCATTTAAGTTTAATCACCCATAGGGTGCTTGAAGTAGACATCTTCAACGTTACCAGTGAGGAGGTTATCTCTTCTTGGAAAACAAAGGTTTATTCTGACGAAAGTATTAAATTTGTTTACTGCAATATTCGGGGTGAATTTCTCGTTTGTAGTTGTAAGGAGATAGACGATGACATTCTTGACATTGATTGTGAAGAGTTGACAGTTTGGTGGAGAAAGAACAACTCCATCACAAAGTTGTGGGAAAGAAAGAGTAGAATATATGGTGGAGATTCTTTTTCACCCCAGTTTTTGATTTCGCCCAAAGAAGAGTTTGTTGTGACTTGGGATTCTCTCTATGCAGGCTGTGGTTTACATATCCTTGATGCCAGATGTGGCGAAACGAAGCACCATCTGCTTAAAAACCGCGATGACATTGTTGACTGCCAATTTACTTGCAACGATGAGTCTTTGCTTTGCTGCACTAGCGACCACTTCTGTCGATTGTTTCACCTAAGAACTGGTGAACTGCTCTGCTTGCTGGACATCGAGGAGAGACCATTCAGTCTGGGTGCCTGCACACGTAACGATCTTGTAGCTGTTGGTTTGTCGTCGGGTAGATTGAAATTCATCCATGTTAAGCTGCCAAGAAGAAAAGAATCAGAAAGTAAAGGTATAAAACTAACCAAGCAATAGGCATTCGTTTTTAGTCTTTGTTAGTATTTTCATTGAAATTGATACTGATGGTACAAATCATAATTAATCAAAAAAGTCGATCTTTTAAGCTCCTAAAGTTCTTATTCACACCGTTTTATTCAGTAGCTTTTTTTAGCTGAGTTGAAGCGATGGATTTGTCTTTTTCATAGTAAACCAGTAACAGTTTGCATAACTTGTGTGAATTCTAATTTTCGGCAAATTTACACCGCCTAAAATCACTGCTGCAGTTTTAGTTTTAAAGCTATGCAAAAGAATGTACTGTTTTAATCCAGATATTGTTCGTCAATAAATAAGTGGAGATCATTGAGGCTCATCAAGGAATATTAATATATGAACCAAACCATACGATCCAAATGATATGGTGACAAATAACTAAATTCCGTAAGAAATTTCATATTAAATATAAAGCTGATTTCATTTTATTTTGCAAGAGAACAGTGTGTTGAGTTACTGTGAGCCGTTATTTGTGAGTTGTTGAAGAGACAGGGACGTGGTCGGTAAATGAAACAACCAAACCAAAACCAAACGAACTAAGAACAAATTTCATCAATAACTTTTATAATTCGTTACGCAGTCCATAACTGGGCGTGAACTTGTGACAATTTTTTTTTTTTACAATACACAATGGGAAGAAAAAGGATGAGTTAAGACCGGATTTTTGTTAAATTATGTTTTTTAGAAGAGTTGAAGTTAACATGTCTGTTTATCACTTGCAGGTTCATTGACCAAAACCAAGTGGAAGTGAACGGAAGAACATCAATGAATTTTTGTTGCTCTCGAAAATCGTCACGTTACATTGAAACCATCTTGAAAACCAATTCACAGAACAATATTGACTACATGTCGATCAATCCGATCATATGGATGATTTCGATGATTCACTAAGCTTAGATGCAGCAACTTGTGCGCCTAGTATAAGACTAGAGGGAACAGCGCGGTCAAACGTGTGCGCATGTTCTAAACCAGGAGCAGTCTGCGAAACCAAACTGTCAAATGCTCCCGCATTTTCAATCTGATTTGGCGCAACAAAAAAGCAAAACGTAAAACTATGTAACTGCTGTGGTCACCTCAACCATGGAGTTAAGAGTTCTTTTGTTTTAAGCTTGTGGAGGAGTTTAACTTCCGATAATAAGCGGTGACGCGGTCAAACCGTAAAAATACGTAAAAGTATCGCTGGCGCCTGTGGACTTTGCTCCTCCGACGCCGTCATCAGCTTAGAAATCTGTCATTGGACACTTGATACTTTCGCTCGGCTCGCTCTTTTTTTCTCTTCACTTTGAGGATTTTCAAGTTCATTTTGCGCTGAAAGAATCCGAAGACTTGTTCGTTGTAAAATGCAAACCCTTACCTATTAGTGCCAATGATGTCAATTCCACTGTTTGAGTTGAAGAAGTCGAACATCTGAAGCGACACAGGAGTGAAAATGCATGCATCAGGGGTCTTCATTTTGCTTCAATAATGTCGTGCTAAGCAAATAGCTTAAGGGCAAATAAACTTGTGAATTTGTAAAAATGACGTGTTCTTTTTTCTGAACGCTAACTATTCATTTACCTCGAAGTAAGATTGTTTACCGAGTTAACACTTACATGGTATCGCGGAAAACCACAGAGCATTGACCTTTCTTTACTCTTTGGTGTGCATGTTTTAAGCTTCTCTTTTCCCCAATCTTCCCCCCCTCCACCCCACCTCTCTGGCTAAATATGATAACATACTAAGAAAAAGAGACACTTTTATTTAGTAGTCTTGTGGTCAACAACAGAAGACTGACCATTCGTTTCTCTCTTGTGTGCAGTGGCGTAAAACTAAGCTTAAGTCAGTCATTCATGTAATACTCCTGTCTGTGCTTAGTTAATGCAAACAAAGTGCACGGCATATCTGGTTTTCGATATTTCAAACCGATCGTACTGAACGAAGAGCTCATGATTGAAGAGAAGCCGACTGAGACAAACTGAAAAAAGGCTATCGGCGAACAAAGGTAATATCAGAATTCCTATCAAGGTATTTTGTGGGCGCAAATATTCCTGGTTTCTGTGCCGGATGGGCAGTTTCATTTCCAGCATAATCGATCACTTTGTAGCGTTCATGAAACATTACTTATTTAACACGAGGCCCACACCTTTAACTGGTCAGTTGCTTTGCGAGATTATTCGAAAGCGGGGTTGAGGAAGTAAAAGTAATACCTGTGTAAATCTTTGAAAATCGACGATGCATTCAGTGTGAGCTAGAACTCTCTCAGATGGATAGAAGCTCCCAGGAAAGCAGTCGTAAATCAATCAAGCGATCTTTCTAGAAACTGTTCACAGTCGTTCACTTTCAATTTCCTAAAACAATACGTTGTGAAGAATGCGTTTCAGTTAAATGAATACATGTAGGTAAAAAAAAATACCTGTAGGGGGCGCATATTTTGAAGCTTTCTCCGAACGTTGCTCAAATACTGATGTCAGTTGGTTGCTCTGAATATTATTCTGGATTCACTGATTCGGCAACATTGCCTACATATCGAGGACAAATATTTCCAACCTCCCGGCAAAATAAACTGTATTGATATGCCAGGAGGTTATCAAGCTTTTTATAGGTATGTTTATGAGGGATATAATACAAATTAGACTTTGTATCTTGTTGAAGTTCCTGTTTCAATTCGATGAATACCGTAAAACTTGAAACCTTGTACTGGCATTAAGGTATAATCACTAATTTATTTCTGAAGTAAATCTCTTTGGAGTCACCCTTCAAATGAACTATTTGACTTTCTTACCATTAGCATTTATCGTAATGCATAACATGTTTTTATCAAAACGGAATGTTGGTTCCAGATGAAAAGATAATCTAAAGTTGCTTCAGGCTTTGGTCCCTTAGCGTGAAACGAACCTGTCAATCATTACTGTTCAATTCAGCTGGAAAAAATTATGCTAATCAATGAAAACCGCTTCACACGCCCCCAACATTGCAGTTCAAGACGGATTTGAACTGCTGTACCCATTCGCAGGTTGGGTGAGAACCAGAAACTGGCCAGAAGTGATGAGAAATAGTTGAACCAGTTTAGTGCACTCGAAGAGTATCGTGAAGGTAGGACTGGTTGTCATTGTTTCTGAGAGATCGATATTTTCGCAAATGATATTTTTGCCTTCGATTTGGCAATTTTAATTGCTCCAAAGACATTGACTTCAGAATAAGTCTTTTTGGTTAATTCTCGCCTATTGGTTTTTTACTTTTTTTTCTTTTTGTGTTCACTACGAGTTAAAATCGCGAGGTTTTTGGCGCCTGGGAAGTAGTAGTGATGTTCAAACATATGGTAAACATCGCTTCACATTTACATGTGCATGCATCACAAGCCGCGTTTCTCATGCGAGACAGAAATGAAGTTTTTGTTTTAATACAGCTTCTCTCCTATTTGTAGACTTGAAGAGCGATCAGCTTAATACTTTCGAATAATAAGTGTTAGTGTTTTTCGCATGGTGATCGAGTTTTAGCATGATTCCGAGGATTTTATCAGAATTTGCTACAAAAGACCGTTCCAAACCAAAGATGTAAGCAATACTGAGAGATCACAGTTATCGTTAAGCTTAACTGCCATGGGAAGTGCGGAGTGGGAATACTCGTGACCCCGATTGATGGGAGATTGTCCACTGGATAAATTATGCAGTATATGTTAACATTGATCAGCTGGATAACGATTTGTCCATCCTTTGTTATTATCCGCCCTGTGAACAACCAAGCCTAGTCACTAAATGCCTTGCAGATTTGGTCCTGGTCACATGACATAGGTACACACTTTTCCTAAATTTATTTTTTTTACACTTTCTTACCATAAATGAGGTTTGGATAATTGTTGATCTACAACACGATTCAGGGAGAAAGTGATGAAATCAAGCTATGACCATTTGAGAATAGCCCATTTCCGAATTACCCATGGCCTCATTTTCAAAACGAGTCCTGGTGCTCATCCTTTCATATGATAATAAGTTTTCATTCACATGCAAATTAAACTCATTTTCACAAGAGTGGTTGAGCACCAGGCCTCGTTTTGAAAAAGAGGTCAAGGTTAATTCGGAAATGGGCTATTGCTTTAGCTCACAGATAATTGCTTTAGCTCTGTAAATGTAACTAGTTGTTTTCTATCTTACAAAAGAATAAAGCATTTTTATGTTCACTAATCAAGTATCTTTTGAAATATTTTGACTATTTTCATCCGAGTTTACCAGGATGTAAAAATCTATCACTCTCCTCAAATTATATAAGGCAAGCACCTCCAGTTGAGATAGTGTTTATTGTATAGCTGTAATTTAGAACATTTAGATACCAGCAGTCTAAAAAAATCACAATTTTCCCAAATTGACAATGAAATCATTCCCCCACGATAAAAAATCATTAAAACAAAAACAGCAGGTCTATGTATTTTACTGGAGATATAACTTGTTGTAACTTGGGTTTCCAATCAATTTAGGATTGCAAATAACATCTGCACCAGAAATGGCGACTTCTTCACCCTCACCAATGGCAAGCTCTGTAGAGAAGACAAACGGTGCCAAAGCAGACTTCTTATTGATGGCGGAACAACGGTTCTAAGGAACGTTTTTGTTACAACTCGACCTAACCTGAGATAAACATTTCAGACAGCCTGAAACATCTGCAGCCCATCCAGATTGAAGAAAACCAAGAAGAGAACTCAAGAGACATTAATCATTTCTTTGAAATGAGTCTAGGGTTTCAAATTGAGGAGGAGCATAAGGAGGCTCTTTTAAAGAAACTGGCTGATAAATCTGAAGGCGTCTTTCTCTATGCTTATTTCCTTGTGGATTTTATGAATGAGAACGCTTCTGTTTTAACTCTAAATCAGCTGGAAAGTATTTTACCATTAGGCATTGCATCTGTTTAGCTCTCCAATTTTAAGCGGTTAGAGAGTGAACTTTGTAAAGAGCTAAAGATAGAAGAGGAGGAAGTCTTGCGATTTGTGTCTGCATTAAGTGCTTCCAGAGAACCCCTACCGATTAAATTTGCTTAAAGAATCTTAGGCCCCCGAGACATTTCTTTGGTTGTTCGGTGACGAGTTGTCAAGGTAATTGTATGCGTATCCAACCTACTCCCAGTCCGGGATGGTCGCCTTCACTTCCTTCGCAAGTCGATAAAGGACTGGTTGACCAGTACATCAGGCTATGGTCAACATGATTTCACTGCGGATGAGAGGGTAGGTCACGCGATCCTTCTCCGACTTTGTTCAACTGAGCTGGAGGGTCTCAAGCAAAAAGGGCTTTTTAATCTTGAATTTAACAAAATGGAGGAGTACGCACTGCAACATTGTATCCAGCATAGATTGACTCAAAGGAATTGAGTGAGATGTCAGCGTCGTGCAAATTGGAAGAGTTTCTTAATAGTTACGTTATTGATCTTGGGATCATTTATGCCAAATTTCGCGTCAATACGATGACTCCCACAACTGATCTTTTAGCTGTTAGGAAACAATTCCAAAGAACTGTGCTCGGCGAAAGAAGCTGTTTCCTTCTAGATGCTCTGTGGAAAGTGCTCAAGAAAGTCCTGTACATTCTGAAAGACCACCCTCATCTTTTCTTCCAATGTATTGTTAATGGAGGATGTCTAAAAGAGCTGACCTCAAAAGCAGAAGAGATTCTTGAAAGTGAGAGAACAATTTCACACATGAAATTGTTGTTCGAGGAAGAAGAAGAAGAAGAAGAAAGAAATGATGCAGATCAAACCAGATATCAGTGTTCCGACACATTAGCATGTTTTGACGTGTCACCTGAAAAGGACTACATGGTTTAGGACTGTCGAGACGGAGCAATTTACATGTGGTGCCTGGAAACGGGTAATCTACTGCGGATTCGTCGCTCTGAGATCAAAAGATTTTTACTTAGGTAGGCCTTTGATTGTGGCTATCGTCAGGTCGGAAGATGTTTATCTTTCTTCAACTCTGTTGTTTTTCATCCAAATGGCTCGTGGATATTACCTGGCACCCTGACAAATGTATACGATCTTAGAGGAGACAAGATTGATCTCTTCCCCAATACCAAATGTACATTCTCACTTTGTGTTTTCTCTGGAGACAAGACATTTATGATTACATTTTGCCCAGAGGAGCCAAAGCAAATTTCAGTATGGAGTATGCAGAATGGTGACGAACTAAACCGTATTGAGTGGACAGAACCCATTGCATCTTAACAATATTTCCCCTGATGGAAGGCTGACTGCCATCTCTAGCTATGACGGACCTTGTAGCACTAGCTCTATTTATGTTAGTGATGCTGAAAATCGCCGTCGCTTGGATTTGATCAAGCCATTCAATGATTTCGATGTGTGTGGATTGGTGCATTTTACGTCTGATAGTACCACCCTTGCCTGCGGTCTCCTTTCTTTGAACTCGGCGACCTACGAAATATCTTGGGACTTAATTTTCACGAGAAGACCACGATTTTACCTTTTGACTTTAACTGGTATAGTTGATCAGTCTACTTCATCAGAAAGTAATGAGATTGCATGTAAATCGGGAACACTCGTGTTGTGGCCTACAGAATCGCATTTAACGAGGGAAGATGACTATCTGGAGCAGAAACTGACTTCTTGCTGGGTACGAGGTTTGCCTAAGGTTTTTTTCGTTCCTTCTGACAGGAATGTAGTTCAGGCTTATCGATGACATAGTTTTGATTGGCAGCCCAAGTTATAACTATCTGGCGACAGTTAAAACTAAGGTACTAGATGATGCGGCTTTTCCTCGTTTGGACTACGATGACCTTAGTGACCTTGATCTGTGTAATCGTGATGGGAGTGTCATGAAATTCGAAATGCCAGTTGCAGGTGATACCGTTTATTCGATCATTTTACCTTATTAGAAACCCCACCTTACCCAAGTAACTGTGTTCAGAATGACAAGTTTAGAAATTCTAACCAAAAAGATATTCTCGCAAATGGTTTCTCTCATCCCTTTGAAAGACGGCATCATAATAAGCCTCGAAAAAAGGAAGCCAGAGCAGTGGAATTTTGAGTCGTCTGAGTTTACTGGTTTTCTTCCCACACTGACGGGCAATGAAGAGCTTGTTCCCATCTCACAAGAATTTGTAGCCTGTTGAAGGAAACAAAATATTTTAACGTTAAACCACTCATTTCGATCTTCCGTTGGTATTTTAGAACTAGACAATAACTCAGAATCTTCCATACCATTTCCGTATTGTCATTTTGAAAAGAAAACGGACATTTCCTACTCAGAAAACAACGATCGCCATTGTGAGGTTGGTTTAGAACCAACGGTTTTGAACTTACTTAATGTTTCCACAGGATAATTTGCTTCATCTTTTACAATCCTGGGTCCCGGAGATGGATATAGTTATACAGTCTCGTTTAACAGCCAGGGTCAATGTTTAGTTTGTACCTTCGAGACCATCCCTCTTTAACATACATTTTGGGAAGACTAGTTGGTCACCGTCACTTTTTGGAACAACGGCTCCATTGTGTGGAGGAGAAGCACGGTCTGTCGGGACCAGTTATCACGCCCGCATTTCGTATTTTCACCAAGAGACGACATTGTTGCTGCGTGGAACTTTCTTGATGGGGGTTTTGGCCTACACATTCTTGACGTAGACACTGGCAAAACAACAAACACCTTTTTGAAAGACCGCTCCGACATTGCTCACTCTAAGTTTGTTGACGATAAATGTCTACTGGCATGCTGCGTTCAGGATACCTTTTATCGATTGTTGAATGTCAGATCAGGGAAACTTCTGAGCATGCTAGAGCTCGGGGAACGGCCCGTCTGCTTAGGAGCCTCCGTGGAGAGTTTTCTCGTGGCCGTTGGTTTGAAGAACAGAATGAAGTTCCTCCATGTTTGGTTACCAAAGATGAAAGAAGAAACAAAGAAGAAAGGTGAGATTTTGGTTGGATGAGAACCCTGTTGGCGTCGTGCGAGTTTGTTTTAATCTATCAGGGACACCCTTGACATGCACCACGTTCGACCCTAGGTAGTAAATTGGACCCGTTGGAAATTGGCCACAGGGATGGTAAAACGACAAGTACTAAAGTTATTTTTTTTTTCGAGGAACTGAATCCGCTGGCTTTTGGCAACTTGAGAACAACTTGATGATCCAGTGATGGTTGAGTACGCTTGCAGTTATCTTGTAAGAAGAGGAGAAGCACGTATGGACTTAAGAATGAAACCTTGGAACCAGTATCATAACGGAAAGCACGAAAGACTTCATTTCTGTCACAGAAAAACTTTTATTTTCTGCCGTCGCGGTTACAAAACCCTTTTGAAGAGAAAAACCTGGTACGCTAAATCTAATAAGTATCCCTAGGTTTGGAAAATTGATTATTGTGAAGTTTGGAATAAAAAAAATAGTAGAAAGGACAACAGAACCAATTACATTAATGAGAAATTTTTTAAGCCGTAACCAAGGTTTTAAACAAGTCTCAGATGAAATCGTGCGAGGGCTATATTCTGTACCCCAATTCCGAGCGAAAAACCCAAGTAAAAAGACAATTAAGTTTACAACCGTAAAATTCCTTTGTTTCCGCGCAGAAGCTTAGGGCCATGACGCAAAGCAGTCAATAAAGTCGTACAAAAGTAACTTGTGCGACAATCTCGCGCAAGTTAACCGCGAAAGGAAGTGCGAAAAATCTGAGAATAATTTTTAGGGATTCATATTTATTACACGTTTGACACTTGATACGTGGGAGAGCTGAAATCTGATAAGTGATTTGCATAATTGTAGTGCGACCCAATCTGGCCTTTTGTTGTCACTTTTGCCGTTTTGATAATTAAAATTATCAACATTTAACAGCTGCAGCAAATGTTTGCCTTTTCATCCCGTATTAGGGTAGATGAATACAGGAAAATACTGAAAATCGCTTTTATAATGATAAGAAAACAACGACATTTCTGTAGAATCCGCCGTGTTGGGCCGCACACGTCTACTATTCCTCACCCACCCCAATCTTGGTTTCATTCTCCCCGTGACCACCCGACAATAGTCCATTTTACAGTTGTGTGCTTGGTTGCCAAGCCTTTGAATGGGAGTGAGGCTAAGGTTGACCTTGTTGTGATACAAACCTTGCTGCCTTTCAAATGTAAATCACTTTGTTATCATGCTAAGTAGATACAGGTCTCTATCACAACAAGGTCACCTTCAGCCTCACTCTGAATCAAAGGCTTTAATTTAATAATAAGTTCTTATATAGCGCATTAAAACTGAACTCTATGCGCTTGGCAACTAAGTACACAACTGTAAAATGGCCTATTTCATGGGAGCACCAAGGATAAACAAGAACACTTTTGAAACAATACTAAATCTCCTGGGTCCGATAAAAGAGAAACGAAACTCACGATTCATGAATTGTTTATCAGGACAGAAAGTCCTAGTTTTGGGGCTACCGTTTGGTCCATCCGTGCTAAGGGAGAGCATATTGTAAGAAATAAACAACTTTTTTGAGAGACATGTATCGGCATGTTTATGCCATCTTTAATCATAGTTAACTATGCTTCAATTAACAAATAGAGAAGCCTTGACTGTGCTCTGGTCTGTAGTAAAGCACGCAGGAAGCGGCCAGAGCACGAACGAAATGTAGGGCGAAACACGAGACGTAGTCAAGTGTTTCTCCCCACTTCTTGAGTGCTCTAGCCGCTTCCTAAGTGCTTTACTACAGAACAGAACACAGTCAAGGCTTCTCTACTTGTTTTATAATAAAGAATCCTTTAAATTCCCCACACATTACTTTGTAATTTCCAAACAAACTTTATTTTCAAGGCGAACAACAGTGTCGTCAGCATGCTCTATACTCTGACAGAGCACGCTTAAAATAAGCCATTCAGAATCCTTGTTAGAATGGGCAACCTAATTTGATTGGATGGACAAGACCAAAGCTGTAAAAAATGTCAAACCATCAAAAGCTATCACGAGGAGTCGCAAATCTTGCTTAATAATTCGAATGCGTAAAAGTGTAATTTTCGCGTACAAAAACCAGTATCTGCAGTAACATGATTAATGAAATCCGGCCGAATTTTGGCCCATGAAAACCTGGACATTATCAACGTGACAATTTAAAAAAACTGCTTAAAGCTTGTGGTTGGAACTTGACAAACTGCTGCGCTGTGTTGTTCTGTGAATAAACAACGGTCGAATTTACAGCAGCGTGAGGGTTTTCTGAACTGGTGGCTGCATCAGAGGAACTTGGCTGCGATGGTCTTCCATTCAATGCACCAGAGAGGATATCTGAACAAGCCCTTAGCTGTTCACTGGATGGACGAGTGTTGTAATTCCTCAGGCTAGCTTCACTGCGATGAC